CGTATAAAATGTCACATGATGAGAAGTTACGCGTCCGGTCTATAGTAAACGATTTGCTTGAAAAGGGAGTCATTAGGGAGTCAAACTCAGCGTACGCCAGTCCCGTCCTCCTCGTAAAAAAGAAGGATGGTTCCGATAGGATGGTAGTTGACTATAGAGCGCTTAACCAAATAACCGTTAAAGTTAGACATCCTCTTCCTTTGATAAACGATCATGTCGATAGGCTAGGTAAGGCTAAAGTATTTAGTGCGCTAGATATGGTAGCCGGGTTCCATCAATTAAAGGTCAGTGAGGAGTCAATTCACAAAACCGCGTTCGTAACGCCCGAAGGGCATTACGAATATTGTAAAATGCCTTACGGACTCGCTAATGCCCCGATTATTTATCAAAAAACCATCTCAAAAACGTTAAAACCCTTCATCGAAGCGGGAAAAGTGCTGGTTTATATAGATGATGTGTTATTGTTGTCTGAAACAGTCGCTGAAAACCTTACTTTACTTGATTCCGTGTTAAAAACCTTAACGGAGGCGGGTTTCTCGATATATTATATTATATTATATTATATTATATTATATTATATTATATTATATTATATTATATTATATTATATTATATTATATTATATTATATTATATTATATTATATTATATTATATTATATTATATTATATTATTAGAGATGGGCCGACTAGTCGCCGACTAGTCGGGAAAGCCGACTATTCGGCATCATTTGTAGTCGGCCGACTAGTGACGACTATTCGGCAAAATATGCCGATTATAATCGGCGCATTACAAAATTAAATATGTGAATGAAATAAAACTCATAATCACCAAGATGATTATGTCTCATAAAAAAAATCTGATAATAGATAAGTACCTAAGTCTAAATTCATACAAAGTTAAGATTAGTTAAAACTACCAGGAAATCATCAAAAATGTGAAAAGTTTACGTAATTTGTACATAATATAAAAATTATGACACTTTTATCGGGGAAAAAATGCATGGAATTGCATACCTATCCTGCGGGGAAGTGATAGATTATGTTGGGCTCCTCTCATCGGAAATAACTCCTGAGCTCCGTCGATCGCCTTAGTGTGAAGAACTAAGCATGGGAATCCGGACAAAGCCATCAACTATCACAGTCCGTCCCGGCAATTGCCCACCTGTATGGCGGGCCCTGCCTATCCGACGGTGGTGGTAGACCGTGCTATGCAGGTGGGAGTACCCCTACGCCCCCAGCTCACTGACCATAACCGTGGAGGGTGGAGAAGAATCAGTGGGCCTAGGATGCGTGCCGCGATAAGCGCAATTTTGCCCATGCATTTTGACGTCGATAAGTAAGAATAATATCACGGCGCGCATACTAGCCCAGCAGGAGGCGATCATATTGTCACCTCCTCTGACCCCTCCGCCGTCGAAAACTATGACATCTACCTTACTCTCCACTGTTAGGTGATTGTAATGTTGCTTTTATTTTTTTCTCATATTAAAGCAATCTCATTTCTCAAGAAGTTATACGAGTATTTATCTCTATAGAAATCTAGATATTCTTATTTCTTTGAGAAATCTTGATATTATTCTTCGGACAAGGAGGTATTAGAATGATCGGCATTGCCGATTAGTCGGCCGACTAATCGGCAATTTGAAAACCGATTAGTCGGCTAGTCGGTTAGTCGGCAAAGACCATAGTCGGCCCATCACTATATATTATATTATATTATATTATATTATATTATATTATATTATATTATATTATATTATATTATATTATATTATATTATATTATATTATATTATATTATATTATAACTTCACTGACTGACTGTACAGGGATATAAACATACACATTACACACATACATACCTACCTACTCTCGAAACACATTACCCTCCTGCACTCGGGTAAAAAGTAACATACCTTTATAATTAAATTCGTCTAAAGGCATTGAGCTAGTGAAGTTTCTATAATCCCAGTAGTGATCACCAACACTTAATAGTAACAATAACCAACGACAGCTAAATGGTTAATTTTGCATAACACCATCAAAGCTGCTTCAAAAGTAGTTTTTTAACAAATTTCTCTTTCCGTTTCTGGCGCTCCTTGGTGCGTTTCCAGGCTATTTCATTACGTGGTTTCTTTCTTGCGTCTTTAGGGTTACATTTTTCCACGAACTGAGACAAATCTTCCATTATTTTGGATCAAAAACAATAAAAAACCGCAGCAACTTTAAGCATGTTATGAAAAAATCTCCATACTGATTTCGCAGTCACGTGACCAAAATACCGTGCTGCCATTGGTCAATCAACTTTTAGAGGGTTTTGAAAGAAACGGACGGCGTTTTAGCGGAGTTTGTAACACAAACCAAATTTTAAGTGCTAGTTTAGTAGTCTTTTTGTGAATTTTGATCGAAAATGATTGAACAGTATGATGAGAAAATTGCAGTAACGTCATTTAGAGATATAAACAGAAATTCGTTGCAGGAGCGTTTTAGCGGGTTTTGAAACTAGACGACTCAATTACATTACTTAAACAACTGCAGCTAACGTAAAACCCGTCTTTCATCAAAAGGTGGTATATCTGTAGCTGAAGTCTTTCATGTAAGGGTCAGTCTTTTCAAGCATAACCACTCTCATCAACACATTTGCTCCGCGTTTTGTCGCACGACTAATCGCACCTCTGTGGCGGCCTGTGTCTTCACCAAAAACGGGATCACCCACACAAGCGAACACCCACCCAATAGCAAGGCACGTAAATTGTATCTTTAAATTACTTATTATAACCCCTTTTTTTTACAAAAATGACAATACTTAGTTTCTAATTTATTAATATTTTTCAACGTTCGAATTTGGATTTCGTTCGGCTTCGGTTTCTCAATAACTCAATGCAATGGAATTTATACAGGGTGTCCAAGAATGGGGAAATTTACTAGTAGAGCTACCTCCCCTAACATATTTTTTAGGGATAGTACATTAGTAGAGCTACTTCCCCTATCAATTTGATTCACCCATTCTGGGACACCCTGTAGGTCCAGTGCTTAACTCAGTCAGAGCCTGAGGTGTGGGAGCGGCACGGAAGGGACATTAGACAAAAAATGGCAATGCCAGATTTTGTATGGAAGGTGGCGTCTTTTTTTTTCGCGCGGCCATCGACCAAACTTTGTTTTTTGATTACAAAATAGTGTAATAACCAAACTTACTATGACATGTATACCTCTAAACTCAGTCTGAACTGAGTTACGAGCGTTAGAAGTTTGATGATTTACATACTAGATTTGCTTTTTGCGCGCAAGTTTTGTAAGAAATTGCTACAAAATATTGCGCTATTTTTTTATTGCGCTGATTCTACTCCACACTGATGTCTGGAGCCTTTAATGGATGGTATTGTTTGTTTACACATACAATGTCACTATTTTGTTGCAATTTCTTACAAAACATGCGCGCATAAAGCAAATCTAGTATGAAAATCATCAAACTTCTAATGCTCGTAACTCAGTTCAGACTGAGTTTAGAGGTATACATGTCATAGTAAGTTTGGTTTATTACACTATTTTGTATCCAAAAAACATGGTTAGGTCGATGGATTTACATACTAGATTTGCTTTTTGCGCGCAAGTTTTGTAAGAAATTGCTACAAAATATTGCGCTATTTTTTTATTGCGCTGATTCTACTCCACACTGATGTCTGGAGCCTTTAATGGATGGTATTGTTTGTTTACACATACAATGTCACTATTTTGTTGCAATTTCTTACAAAACATGCGCGCATAAAGCAAATCTAGTATGAAAATCATCAAACTTCTAATGCTCGTAACTCAGTTCAGACTGAGTTTAGAGGTATACATGTCATAGTAAGTTTGGTTTATTACACTATTTTGTATCCAAAAAACATGGTTAGGTCGATGGCCGCGCGAAAAAAAAAAGACGCCAATTTCCGGCATTGTCTTTTGAAGTCTCGCTGACGTTTTATCGTTACAAAATCACCCTCCCGTGACGCTCAGAAATCTCGGGCACTGACTGAATTAAGCCTGAAGACCTGTAGTCATTATTTTTTATTGACATTTTTTGGTTATTTTAAAATGTATAATTATTCACTTTTTTTCAAAAATACTGTTCTAAAATATTTTTTTAATTTAAAACTCATTATTATTAGTTTATTCCATTGCAGTAGAGAGTAGAGTATTTATTAACAATACAAAAATCACTGCTTTTCAACGTATAGACCACAGCACATCAAACGAAATACTGAGGTAAACCGACAGTCATTGGACGCTGCCAGTCATTGGACAGAACAACCCTTGAATTTTCTTAAAATGAATATTCCTTCAAATACAATGAATATTCCTTCAAAAAACGCCCTTTTATCTCCATCAGTCGGAATCTTAGTTGTTGAAATAGAATGCTATTTTTAATTCAGTAAATAACTGTCCAATAACTTTCTTAAGTATCCAATGACTGGCAGTTTACTCTTATGTAGTTATATTAAGAGTCATTTTGTAACGAAAACGTATAGGCCCGTATTCACAAACATTACTATATCACACAGTGTGCGTGGACACACAGGGTGACACACGAACCAATCACTAGAGCTCTATTCAACGCTGTGCGTTCGATTTGCTGCTTCACTTCAGCAAGCGTCGTTTGTGAATAGTCTGATGTGCTGACGACTATACAAAGACGTATAAAAGTATTTTATTTGTAATTTAAAAGATTTCTTTGAGCACATCTATTTTATCATAATTTGCTTCATCTGTATAACTATAATCTGGTCTGCGAGCACGTAGAATTTTGTCCAATGACCCCAAGCTACCCATCCTTGTCGCTCGCGCGTAATTATGTTGTTATCGCGCTCGCACACTCACTGCTGCCGCCCGTCGCACAAAGGTAGCTTGGGGTCATTGGACAAAATTCTACGTACTCGCAGACCGGGCTTTAGTTACGGTTCTTTTTATACAATTTATCCTTTGTAGAGTAGCCAAAAGGTCTTGGTAAGATTTTTTTCTAATTTCCTAAATGGGTCTTTTGTCTTTGAAATAAGGTTCAGAATCTGAGTTGATACGCTGTCTAATGTAGGTAAACTTATTACTTCAGATGTCTTCAAGTTTATACAGGGTGGCCCAGACCAGACGGATATACATTTTTTTAGAACGTAGGATTAGGGACATATAGGACCCCAGCAGGAAAAAAGTGCTGAGAATCACTTTATTTTATAATTAATCGAGCTCAACAAAAAGTTCGAACCAAGTCACTCTTACAAAATAGTTATCTTGCTGCATATCATTCTGAAATTCTGAATTGAGAGAGAGTTTTATGATTTTTGAGAAAGTACAGTGTCTAAGTTGCAATAAAAAAGAAATTATCATTAGAAAACAAAAAATATATATTTCCATGTCTTCAAATAAAATAATAGGAAGCGTTTTTTTTCGTGCGGAGCCTGATTGGTCCCTAATCCAACTTTCTAAAAAAAAATATCCATCTGGTCTGGGCCACCCTGTATATCGATTATTGGCAGATGAACACCGAACGTGATGCTATTTACAACTAGCACAATCACATGACTAATCCAAACCATCTTGTGTAGCAAACTTGAATTGTAAAGATATTCCAAACTTTTCAATATTTCGGTCGGACATTTAATGTGGCTAGGTATATGCGCCACCAATTGGCGCCATTTTCTAGTGTTACAACTATTTACACCAGTGGCGCCAACTGGTAGTAAAAATACCTCTAAAAAAAGCCTCTCATTTAAGTGCTTACCTGCAGTTGGCGCCAATTTCGACTAAGAGGACCTCACTCAACGCCAACTCGGCGCCAACTGGTGAGTTCAAATATGGTGTGTCCGATAGTTTGAGTGATCACCAGTTGACGCCACTATCAAGTAAAAGGACCTCTCGCCAAAGGCGCCAACTGGTTTGTATAGCCCGAATTGTATCCATTATGATGTCAATATAATCTTTTATACTTAGGATATTGTGCTACCAATTTAAAACAGCCGATTGACACAAACCTAAATTCTAATTATCCGAATTTTGATACTTTCCTAAACTTCACGCCCGTATTTTTTTATCTAGAATTTGCTAATAATTTAGATTGTAACGCACACAGCACGGAGTGTCCGAATTTTAAACCTCAGCTACACTACTCACGAAGAAGATAGTGTAGACACGCACTTCGCTTCAAACCTCGCCTCGCCTCGCCCGACTTCAGATTATTGTGGGTATTTAATTACGCCCAAGTCAAGGCTTGCAGCCGAAGTTTGCACACGAAGTGTCTACACTACTCTGCTAACTTCGGTTCTTTGTCGAAACTAATGTAGCTGTGGTATTGGGATATGTCCTAAATGGGGCTTTCATTTTCCGCCACCAGGGCGGCGTCACTTTCGCGAGAGTTGGTTTTAATTTTTTTGAGTAAAGAAGATATAGCCCCCATTCTCACATAATGTCCGTATCCCCGCTCACATAATTCATAGAATTATAACGCCTAGAAACCGAGTTAGCACAAGAAAAGCGAGGCACTTTAAACTAGACCATTGTCTCATTTTTTCATACGTTCTGACAGTTGTCAAAATCACACACTAGTGAAAATTTATGTATAGATCGCACAGCAAGAGTTGAGACGATCATTTACTCACACTGAGGTTATATTTGAATACAGAACACACACAACACATTGAAGTTCAAATATCGAACACACTAGCTCGCTCTTGCTAAGTGTGCAAGCAAGACAGAAAGCACTTGTCAGGCAAATTACGCAAGAGCTCAGTGCGACAGATACAAATCTTTGCTTGTGTTAATCGGCTCAACACTCGTTGCGCGAACTATACAATGACGTCATTGGCCTCACTTTACACCAAGCGTTGTATGAACACAATCCATCTAGGCGTTATCAATCTAAGCCCCGGGTATCCGTGGATACCGATAGAGTATCCGATACCCGGGATACCCTGAGTCTGGTGTGGTATGGATCAGTCTTGCTTCTTCTCGGCGGCCGATTTCGGGTCCCCTTCGGACGGCGAAGGGGGCCGGTCGGATTCCGGTTCGGAGCCTGCTGCAAAAAAAAAAACAATTTTAAAAATAAATAAATATCCTTTCACATTTTTACACTGCGCCTCTAGTCCCAAACTAAGCAAAGCTTGTACTAAATATTTAAGGTATACGGAAAAATACCCTATTCTATCCATAAAGTTAATATTCCTTCGGAATAGAGCAACAACCACGAGCTGTCAAACGAAACCGATTTTGCATGACACTGGATGTCATTTGTGTGTCAGTGGTCAGGATTACTTCACTGTTTTGTATCAATAATCAATCACTCAACGAGTCACCACGTTTCCAAAGCACTATTTCATATAAACATCCACCATTTCACTCACGTAAAATCTGGAAAAGTCTCAGGGCTCATATTTTCAGTGTGCTAATGAGTGCTAAAGAAGTGTCAAATTGTTGCAAAAAACGGTTCTGTTTGACGATACGGCTCAGCTCTTTTTTGTATTCTTAATCATAATCATAATCATTTATTTGCAATTAAACATGGTATAAAGATGTTAGGTACAGACAGTGAGAACTATACATGTTTAGCTAAAATTATTAGCATGCAAAAGTTAAATTAGAAACACCACAATATTAGCGACGATTCTAAAGATGAACAAAACTACAGCAAATCAAAGAACTCTTTTAAATCGTAAAGTGTCAGTGAAAGCAACCATTTACTCAAATGTTTCTTAAAATTACAAATGTTTAATGTCCTAAATTCTTTGGGTATTTTGTTATAGATTTTAATACACATGATCAAACAGCTATTTTTGTACTGCACTGTTTTTGGGGTGACCTGAAGTACCAACCTGTTTGCATCTCTACTATTTCTTGGATAGTAATCACATGCCCGTTTAAATAAGTGCTTATTCTGCATAACAAATACACATGTGTCAAATATGTAAAGAGAAGTCAGAGTTAGTAATTGCGTCTGACTAAATAGAGGACGGCAGGACGTACGCGGGGGAACACCATACATTGCTCTAAGGCATTTTTTTTGAGCAATAAATGCTCTATTGATATGAGGGCTATTGCCCCATATCAATAGTCCATACCGTAATAAAGACCCCACATAAGCATGGTAGGCCGTGATTGCCGTACCTAGATTAGTGACTGATCTGACACACTTTAGAGCATATACAAATGAATTGATACGGCTACAAATACTATCTATATGGTTTTTCCAATTAAGATCTTTGTCAATTATTATTCCCAAAAATTTAATTTGATCTACTTTATTAATGTCTATATCTTTATATTTAATGTCAAGATTAATATGTTTATATTTATTAAATTGTATATATTTTGTTTTAGTCAGATTAATTTTTAAACTATGCATGTCAAGAAATTTAATTATGTCATTAATAGTTGCATTTACGTCATTCTCATGTTCTGTCACTATGTTATTTGAGGTTACTGTAATAGATATGTCATCTGCAAATGCGATACATTGATGATGTCCAGTTGCATTAAAAATGTCATTGATGTATATAATAAATAAAATTGGCCCTAATACGCTACCTTGTGGTACACCACATTGGTTATATTTATATTGTGATGAGCACGATATTATCTCATTTTTATTGTTTAATGTATCTACAACTACACATTGTTTTCTATTACTAGTATATGACATTATCCATTTCAACACGAGTCCCCGTACACCAATCATATCAAGCCTTTGTGCTAGTAGTTGATGTGATACATGATCAAATGCCTTAGACAGATCAATAAATATACCAGTTGTCAATTTTTTATTATTTATACCTGTTAAAACAGTTTCCAAAAACCTATGTATGGCCAAAGTGGTGGATTTATTTTTTTGGAATCCGTATTGATCTTTATGTAATAAATTAAACCTGTTACAGTATTCAACCAGCTGTTTGTAGAAACACTTTTCAAATATCTTAGAAAAAACTGATATGATGGCAATAGGACGATAATTATCAATTTCATCCTCGTTACCTTTTTTATGCAAAGGTTTTACAGTAGTGAGTTTAAGTTGTTCTGGAAATACGCCAGAGGAAAAAGACAAGTTAATTAGGTGAGTTAGAACAGTAATAAGTTCACTCACACAATCCTTCAGAACTTTAGTACATATTTCATCAAATCCTTCTGCTTTTGTGTTTTTTAGAGACATTACCACTGTTTTTACTTCTGTCTCCACAACAGGCTTTAGAAACATAGAGCTTAATCTTAGTGTTTGGTTGGTATTATTTATTTTAAATACTGACCGCAACGAGTTGATACGGTTACGAACCCTTTCCGAGTTGATAAATGTGCGACGACCTTAACTTCTATGTTTGTGTCAATGAAATCGTACTTACTTGGTACTTTAGAAACGTCATTTTTTTTCTCGTCGTCACTTTCGCTGCCCGAGCTAGCGATGGAAGACTCGTCTCCGCTGCCTGAGAAGAAAAAAAATTGCTGGTTGACACAATTAACCAACTAAACTAATTCAGAGACATAACTTCTTTAAACACTTCAATTTAGCCCAGATGATTCAGTTAGGGTTCAATTTGCTGTCTGCTGTAGCATTGGTTTAAGTACATCGAGCAGTTGCTTGAGGACAACACAAGAAGACAAACATCTACTTTAGCGTCCTGCTATGTTGTAATAAAAACTAGCCTTCAGATATTCAAGCTTAAAGTGTACTTGTAGTATCACACAAATGGGTGTTTATATGATCCATTATGTACAATCGGTTAGAATGGATTTTCATGTATAACAACACAAAGCCATAAGTGCAAATACTGCGTCCAGTCATTTGCTTATGAGTCCATTTTTTACTGACCTTATTAGCTGACAATGCGACAGTAGGTATTGAGCTTTCTTCTCATCCAACTAAAGTCTATTTTGGGTTATATTCACCACCTAGCGACCTCCTCGGTAGGCAGCGCTGAACTTGGCAAAACTAACCTTATAGTAACCTATGCGACTGCCAATTTTGAGCCTTTATTCCATACATTTAGGGTCCAGTTTACTCACCGCCTAGCAATCTTCTCGGTAGGCAGCGTTGAACTTGCCAAAACCAACCTTATGGTATCCCAAACGACAGCCAATTTTGAGCCTTCGTCCCATACGTTTAGGGTCCACTTTGGGTTGCCATACTCACCGCCTAAGGACCTCCTAGGTATAGCAGGCAGGGCACTGACGGGCGTTAGTAGGGGACCTCCTCGGTAGGCAGCGCTGAACTTGCCAAAACTAACCAACTTTGAGCCTTCCTCTCATACACTTAGAGTCCAGTTTACTCACCGCCTAAGGACCTCCTAGGTATAGCGGGCAAGGCTCTGACAGGCATTAGTAGGGGATCTCCTTGGTAGGCAGCGTTGAACTTGCCAAAACCAACCTTATGGTATCCTGTGTGGCTACCAATTTTGAGCCTTCGTCTCATACACTTAGAGTCCACTTTGGTTTGCTATATTCACCGTCAAGCTACCTCCTCGGTAGGCAGCGTTGAACTTGCCAAAACCAACCAATTTTGAGCCTTCGTCTCATATACTTAGAGTCCACCTTACTCACCGCCTAGCGACCTCATCGGTGAACTTGCCAAAACCAACCTTATGGTATCCTCAACCACAGCCAATTTTGGGCCTTCGTCTCGTAGACTTAGGGTCCACTTTACTCACCGCCTAAGGATCTCCTAGGTATAGCGGGCAGGGCTCTGACGGGCGTTAGTAGGGGACCTCCTCGGTAGGCAGCGTTGAACTTGCCAAAACCAACCTTATTAGCAGACCATGTGACAGCGTATTCTGGGCTTTCACCTCATACACTTAGAGTCCACTTAGGGTCCACTTTACTCACCGCTTAGCGACCTGACATTAAGGGTCCTCTTTAGGTTGATATACTCACCACCTAAGGACCTCCTAGGTATAGCGGGCAGGGCTCTGACGGGCGTTAGTAGGGGGGCATGCGGGCGCTGCTTACGGGCCGCGTTGAACTTCCCGCAGTAGGCACACGCGTAGGACACGTAATCGAATTCTTCTATCATCGCCATGCCTGGGTAAAGACATTATTATATGTAAGAAATAGTCAATTTATAGAAAAATAACCATACTTTAGTTTACTGAAAATTCACCACCATAGAATAAGTATACGGTCACAGGGAAACGCGGGAACCATAGACTGACAAGCGTTTTCTGTCTAGTGTTTACACATTTAACAAGAGGGAGGTATAGATCGTTTCATCCACGAAGACGCGCCCCACCAATTTTTGGTCGAGACAAGCGCAGGGAGTTTGATCCGAGCAATCCGAGCGGCATTGATCTAATGTAGTGTGCGTGTGCCCTCATGGACAATAGACATGTTGACACCACCAATCAATAGACGTACTTTTTAAAACTGTCAAAACGAAACTCTCCCATAGATTTTGTATGGCACTACAAGCAGTGACGTCACTATTTTGTCAACTCAAATAAACTACTTTTTTCAATTAAGATGCGACCAAAAATCGTAATTTACAGGTAATTTAAATTTAATTAAGTTTTTAAGACCAGAATGCAGTGTCTTTTTTAGAAAAGTTGTGATTTCGAATTATTGGGGAATGATGTCAAATTTTCTATTTACACTACCTGTTCAAAGACCCAGACCGTCTTTGAGCAGGTAGTCATCCACTTTGTCCATAGACAAGCAGCAGACCATAGAGCTACAAGAACCATAGACAAGTCTCACCATTGTGCGAAGAGCATTCCCGGCAAATAAGCGCCATCCTGTTGCCCGGACCGTCTTTGAGCAGGTAGTCAACCACTTTGTCCAGCGCTGACCGGTTCCTGTCAGGAAGCGGCCGCGGGAGCTGATCCGACTGGAAAGAGAAGACATCATCATCAGCAAGTCATTCAGTCTTTTGGTTGAGGAGCACACAAGATAAAATCATCGAAAGGTCATTTAGTTATTTAATTTCTAGCGGTAAGAGTTGCATCTCAAACTACACTCGCGAGCAAAAATATGGAATCACCCTATTTATTCCGAGCGATCATAAAAACTAAATGATTAATAGAAGATCAATAAAAATGGTACCATTTTAAAGGAGATATTATAAACTTAAAATTGATACCATAGATACATACAATACATAGTCATTCAGTTCTTAAGACCGCTCGGAACATAAAGGGGTGATTCCATACTTTTGCTCGTAAGTATAATTTCGAAAATTTCGACGGGTACATCCAGTGTCTAAGTAGCTCAGTTGGAAGAGCAGTCGCCCGGCAAGCGGAAGGTCGTGGGTTCAATTCCCGCCTTAGGCAGTTCGATTTTTTCAAGTTATTTATAACTAGCTTTCCGCCCGCGGCTTCGCCCGCGTGGAATTTTGTCTGTCACAGAAAAACTTTAACGCGCGCGTCCCTGTTTCAAAAACCGGGATAAAAACTATCCTATGTTCTTTCCCGGGACTCAAACTATCTCTATGCCAAATTTCATCAAAATCGGTTGCGAGGTTTAAGCGGGAAAGCGTAACAGACAGACAGACAGACAGACAGACAGACAGACAGACAGACAGACAGACAGACAGAGTTACTTTCGCATTTATAATATTAGTTGGGATTTTCAAATTAGGTCATTTAGTCTCCATTGCAGGAGCACGACCTTCTCCAAAGTACCAAAATGGGACAAATCATCATCTGGACTAGCTGATCCGAAATGGACATCAAATTAATACTTCAAGGAGGGCTATCGTTTTTATACTTAACAGTTGGCACCCCTGGCGATTGACAGGACCTTACTCTACAGTGGCGCCATCTTGATGAGTGCAAATGCGATAGTCCTCCTACCACTTTAGCGCTCACCAGTTGGTGCCACTGTCTTCGCTGCTAGCAAGTGACAGGACCTTACTCTACAGTGGCGCTAACTGGTGAGCGCTAAAACGATAGCCCTCATTACGTGTCCAGTATATCATGAATATTACTAAGACTTAAATAAAACCAAAATTATAAGCCAAATTAGCAGAATTTACTAGCTGCTTAATAATAACAACTTCAGACACGATCCCAAACAGAATAATATATCATTAATTAATAACTTATTCATATAACACTAATAAAAACATATTTCTATTTGAAAATCTACCAAAACTACATTAATTGCTGAATTGTTGATACCAAAGTGTAGAGATAGAAAGTATTAATATCACGTGACTGAATAATGACATACAAATACTGGCATTTCAATGTGCAGTTAATAAATAAAATAACGCAACAAAATAATAAATAATACAAAATTATAAATCACTAACAATATTTATAATACTGATTAAGCAAAAGGTTAGCAACACTTTTAACGCTGACTTTTAACTTCATTTTAATAGAAATACGATTATTTTATTATGTTTTAGCAGTAAAATCTGACTAAAATTATGTTATTATACCATTAAAAACGGGACTATTCCCACCTCTCGTTCCCACCGCTGCAACTCCTGTGTAGCCAGGATCTACAGCTTGACCGCCAATAACCCAACCAGTGAAGGTCAAGTTTGTCCCGGGGGAAAGTTAAACTGTCATTGGACCCGCAACGAAATTAATCAGAAGAACATGGGATGATAAACATAAACCTATGTTCGGCAGTGATGTTTTTGTTAAAGATTATTAGTAATTTGTTATTACACAAATTACTAATAGTCCCGTTAGCCCCTCGTGCTAAGCTAAATATGCTTGTGTCACGAGTGAGCTCACCACAATAGTCGAGCGGCGGCGGGGACCGAACCCGCGTTTCCCGGATCACGAGTCGGCCAGTCCGACCCCTTCACCGTTCGGCTATCGTGACTAATTTATCAGAAGAACATAGGATGATGAACATAGACCTATGTTCGTTCAGCAGTGATGATGATGATGATGATGAACTTACCCTGAGTCTAGGTCCGTTGTAAACAGCAAGCGCGTTGTTCCCATGTCCAACGTTGTTGCTAATCGGCGTGGAGCTCTGCAGAACCAATTGTCGCTGTCTCAACTGGCCTGGAGTAGCTAGAACGAGACGGGTTGCTTGCTAAATAGTGGAAGGTCAGGGGAAAATAAACTGTATCACAAGGGGATAGAGTTATATTCAATACAAAAAGTTAAAAAGATTCCTTTAGACTCCCTGCAGACTACAAACTTTTAGTCGGCCGATAACTGGGCCCGATTCTACAGTACCCGGCAATAAATTTTCACATCGACCTTTGGAAAGAGAATCGGTTAATTTCGGCTCGTAGAGCGTTATCTCTGTCGCACACTACATATACGATTGACAAAACGTCATTGACAAAACATTATTCAATGAAAATATTGTCCGAACTCTTAGTATTTCTCTTCGACAAATACTTTAACACATTGTAAACCACTTTTTTCACGACTATCAAAAGTTTTTAGCAATTTAATTCACAAAATCAATTGCACACATTTAAAATAAAGTTTGTTTACACTTAGACAAAACGTCATTGTCAGTCATTATTTAAGTGCGACAGCTTCGACAGTGATAATGCTCTACGAAACCGAAATTAGCCGATTGTCTCTTTCTAAAGGTCGCTGTGCAATATTTATCGCCGGGTATTGTAATTTGTATGAAAGATCGGCCGATCCAATGTGCAAATGTCTTAATAATTTGTCACGTTACCGATCACCAGATGGCGCCACTGTTCGTTGCACTACTGACAACTGTCATAGTCACTAGGACAACGAACTGTGACGCCAACTGGTGACGTCAAAAATACAACGCCATTTAAGTGTAAACACTTCTCAAAAATAGCTTTTTTATGCATGACAATAAGGCAGGTATTTGACCGCAATCGCACCTGATGTTAAGTGAGATGCAGTCTAGGATGGTACATATCTGCCCTGTAAGTGCCTTTCACTCTCGCCTTGAAAAGGCGAATTATTCAGGAAAGACAGCAGCAGATTAGTCTTTCTTTTTGCATGATTATTCACACATAACTTATATTATTTGACCATTAAATAATACTATAGCTGGTAAATCATAAATTAAATAAATACTAAGGTATACTGTAGTCCGGTCCCTGAGCACGTAGAATTTTGTCCAATGACCCCAAGCTACCCATCCTTATCGCTCGCGCGTAATTATATTGCTGTCGCGCTCGCACACTCACTGCGGGCGCCCGTCGCACAGTCGCGACAGCAATATAATTACGCGCGAGCGATAAGGATGGGTAATAGCTTGGGGTCATTGGACAAAATTCTAAGTGCTCACAGACCGGGCTTTAGTAACTACAAAGGTTCTAGGGGTCTACCTGGGATTGGCGATAGCGGGCTAGGGGGTTTACCAGGCACGTTTGTGGTCGGCTGGAACGGTTTCAACGCTTTCGACTGCTCCTCAGGGCTCCCGTATTTGTCCAGGATTTCTTTGGCGACCTGGAATAGAAATATCTTTATTTGACAAACTGAATTCAAAAATTACAGAAAAACAAGAAAAAACTACAGTTAATTTAAAGCAAAAGGTGTTTAAAAAAGTCCCAAACTCAGAGAAAAGTTACAATAGAAATAATAAAATCTACAAAAAGTGAGGTATGAGACTATTCCCATATCTTTGTCCCTGCTTTCGCTAATAAAACCCAAACAATAATTTCCTTTTGTTTCCTTTCTTTTCGTTTCCTTTCTGACAGTGCGGGCACGAGCAAAGAAAATTGTCAAGTTGACCTGACCACAGACCGCATCCAATGTGACAAATGCTTGAGTAGTTTTCGGAAATAACTGTTTCCGAACCCGGAAGGAATTTAAAGGTACACAATATAAGATGAATTTACTTCTTTCCTTATTAGGTGGTTTTGTTAACGACCGCACTGTAAATAAAGGAATAGCAGTGGTGGGAATAGAATACCTTTTAATTCAGATGTTTTCCAATTATCATACCTTGTATGTTTCCGTGTTCATAACCTCTTCGAGTATTTTCTTCTTTTCTTCCCGCATTTTGTTCAGTTTTATTCTATTCTTGTTCAGTGTCCAGTTGTAGTACCAGGATATACCGGATCGTAGGAATATTACTCTGAAAGTTAATAAAACGGTTGTTGTTAACATTTGAAAAACATAACCTAACCTAACCCATGATTGGGAATCTAGTTGTAACTTATTTTGACGAGAAAGAATGTTTTAAATTCATGTGGGGACATAGCAGGTTATATGGGGCTCACACCATGAGAAGATCATGGCATACCCTGTAAAATCACTTTGGTGCTACGTCACTTGCTTTAAGAGGGATCATCATCATCATCATCATCATCATGTCATATCTCCACTGAGGAGGACTCCTCTCTAATTTACCAGAGGCAAGTGGTGATTTAACCTACACTCCCCACGCTGCCTGGCCAGACGGGTTGGGGAGGCCTAATGTTCCCATATTTTTCCCCTTATCCGTCTCTTACGACATCCACGGGAAGAGTGGTGTGTGGTCAACGGTAAGATATTTGTCCCTTGTCATCATCATCATTTTAGCTATAGGACGTCCACTGCTGAACATAGGCCTCCCCCAACGATTTCCATGACCTTTCGGTAGCAGCCTGTGGTCGTATCGACAACCAACCTATACAGTGTCAGACCAAAACTTCGCTACAAGAGTGGCGTTGTCAGTACCATTCATTAAATCTTCCCGCGTGCAGTTGTTTGAGCACTTGGTCACGACATCATGTGCTTCATCCCTCCTCCCTGCTACCTTTATGATTTATGTCAAATGTATAAAGTTTACAATGCTATACTCACAACACAGGCAGTACCAGCAACGGGGAGGCGTATAACAGTGAATGCAGCCAATGGTGACTCCTTCCCACGTACATAAAGTAGTATAATATCGCGAATAGCACGTATAGGCCTACGGAATACGCCATGACGTAGCCTATGACCCTCTTGTGGGTTTGCTCCTTGTACTGCCCATCTTGTTCGATGCTTTTTATCTTCGTTTCGAGGGTCTCCAGCACTTCTGTGGTGGTTTTCTTGCGCTGGGGAGAAATGGAGGTAGTTAGTCTTCAATTGCTTAACGTAGAAAACGGGGAAGGATATTTTTAGGGTTTTTATTTCTATGCAAGTGCAGGAAATAGTGACTGAGTTTCTAGCGCTGCTTCTTCTCAGCACTAGAGCATTTAATTTTACTGTCCCGTGCCAGTGGTAGGGTTAATACTGGGACAGGTAATTTAAAAGCCTACTTGCAGAAATAATGTGAGTTTTGGGTTTTAAGTTCTTGGATATTGTACGCAGAATCATCTAATCTGGTGTGGTTATATTTTCGTTTCTTCGATTGGTTAACATAGACAATGGTTTTTATTTAGACAGCTGAGCTTGCTTTAGAAATATCGTTGGACATTTTGCAGTGTCATTCTATCTCAAACTGAGAAAGCATGTTCTGTGGGTGTGCCAGAAAAAGAATATGAACATATTTTTATACTTTTTTAATACATTTCAGGAATCACCCAAACAGATACGACGATTTAACCTGCCTCCTGCAACCTCTGGAATAGATGTCGGTACGTTTCATTACCGACAACTATGGGATGTATAATAATAGGTGGATTTAAATAAGCAAAAGAATAGAGGCTGTCTACACAATCGTTGTAAAGGGGACAATACAATTGTACAGACAGACGTCACAGCTTTATACACTATGGCATTCTTGTGGCATTCTATGCCTTTGAGATAAGTGCGCTTTTGCACAAATGGTAAGTTTGCTATGCTGCCCACTACACAACCCACGTCATACACCTACAAAAGGTATGCTGTGTGTTAGCCACGTGTGTTGTATGAATAACAGCCCGAGGCAAAATATGTAAATAAAAAGTATGTTTATGAAGACTATAGACTAAATTAGTTATCAGGACTATTCCCACCTCTCGTTCCCACAGCTGCAACTCCTGTGTAGCCAGGATCTTGAGCGCCAATAAAAACCCAACCAGTGAAGGTCAAGTTTGTCCCAAGGGGAAAGTTAAGCTGTCATTGGACCAGTACCGAAATTAATCAGAAGATACTTAATTCAGTTAAATAAAAACTCGGAAGCCATTTTAGCTGCAATGCCATCGGCGCGTGCGCATCTCATGATTAATTCATCGACGTACACATTAATCGGTCATAAGTGTGATTCAATGGACGGTAATAAGAATTCAGATCAAGAGTGTAGTCTATTTCTGTCGGGTGTATTATTTCATTCGGACATGCTAGTTTGATTTATACATGAGTAGTTGTTGGCCGCGGTTTCGTTCGGTTTTTACCCGACTCGTCAGAAGGTATTATTACAGGCAAACTTATGCTCCTGTGTTGTCATTCCAGGGAAAACTTAGGGATAGGTCTCTAGATTTATTTTAAAGTGATATGAGCTGTTGTTTTCAAAGTGATTGATGGTTTGTACTGTGCCAAATAAACTTTTTATTCTTTCATTCCAAAATAGTGCTTCTCCTGCTTGAATTCGTTCTATCTATCATTCGGTCTAAAAGACTCTTAAGATGACAGGCGAGAAAATGTTTTAAGAGTGCACAAGGTTTCAATCTTGGTTTATCTATCTCACTGCCCTTTATCTGTGACATTGTCGAACGAAACCTATGAAATAGGCCATTGTTAAGATTTAGGAAAAAATCTCAACAAAAAGATTGAGAAATTGACACCAGTTGGTAAACAACAATGAAGGATGTGGAAAGCTGGCATGAAGTGGAAAGAGACATCTACGGGACTAATTCCCTCTTGTTCCCATCACTGCAGCTCCTGTATCGCCATAATCTACAGCTTGATTGCCAATAAAAACCCAACCAGTAATTCTTCTGATAATTTCGTTGCGGGTCCAATGCCAGTTGAACTTTTCCCGGGGACTACCAGACCTCACTAGTTGGATTTTATTGGCGAACTAGCTGTAGATCTTGGTTACACAGGAATTGCAGTGGTGGGCACGAGAGGTGGGATATTTTGTCACGTAGATGCTTCCCACTTCATGCAACCCATCGACCGGTAGGAATAGTCCCGTTAGTCGTAATTTACGTAAGTGAATCCGCAGGTAAAAGCTAGTATCAAATAACAGTGATGTAACATTCTGCGCGTTTTCACTATCAATTCGCTCACCAAATTCATTGTGGACGTTTGAAAGTCAAGTCTGGTGGAACTAGGCCATGACTGCGAAGCTGGTGTCGTTATGACATCTACCTTTATTTCATAGACGATAGGGCCTAGTTTTGCATGAGGTCCCGAGATAAAGTAAGATGGAAAGTACTCTACCTTTCTCTTCAAAATCGAGCATTTGAATTCGCTTTGACAATTTGTTTTAAAGCTAATCGGTGTTTTCTATCCATTAGTGGAATCTACAATACCTAGGTAATGGATCATACTTTCAAAGTATTGTAGAACTGTTTGCTAGGACTTCTGTTGGATAACAGGGGACTGTTTTAAATTGTATTCTTTGAAGTATTTCTATCATCACGAAATTTCAGAAACTACAAGTGCTAGGAGTCTCAAATTTTGCACGGGGGTTCCTTTTAGAACGTAGGTGATCACTAAGACGGGATTTTGCAAAATCCAACCCCTAAGGAGGCAAAATGTGATCCACGCGTGCGTAGTCGCGGGCGGCCACTAGTTATACAGGGTGTTTGGTATATGAACCGACACTACCCTATGTTAACATGAGCATATAAATGGTATGGTGAAGTCAGTTTGATATCATCATTTTAAATATTTTAATTTTCATACAAAATTAATTTTATAAAATCCGATTTATATGAAAATTAAAATAATTAAAATTAAGATATAAATTTTCTGACTTCACCATACCATTTATATGCCCATGTTAACATAGGCTAGTGTCGGCTCATATACCCATTTACCTAACACCCTGTATATGTACAGGAAACTGTTAAAGTGTATTGTATTTTGAGATGTCTGTTACAGTACATTGAGTTTCACACATTTGCAACAGTAATGTATTGTAATGTATATTAGACACATTAATTCCGAAAATTTCTTATTATTGATTACGAATTATTATTTTTACAAGAATTTTATTACGAAAGCATGATCATAAGTTTCGTGTGATTTAATAGCTATTTATATTATTAATTTTTGTTGAAAGTTAGCCATTTTCAGAGATCGTCTACGTTAGAATTTTACACGGTTCAGTACCCAAATGATTGATGATAAATGATTTGAGCACCAGACCGAATTCTGGCAGGGTTCGTCGCGGAAAGAAAGTAGTATGTTCTTTTAGGCCCTTAGGTATGTTATAAATCGTCCCTCGTATGACTAACTATCCTATCTCAGTTTTGCCACTTTCTCAAAACCAGGGGTTTTCAGTTAGGTCATTTCAAATATAGTTTCTGTTTATACTTTACGGACCTCGTGGGAGAAAAAATAGGTACATACAGATAGAAAAAATCGTAGACAATGGAAGCAGGAAAAAATTTGTAGTCCGTTAGGACTTGAGTTATCAAATCGCCAAAAGACTGAGATAGGATAGTTAGTCATGCGAGGGACGAAATGACATACAAGTCAAAAACTACTTATATAGTTTCTGTTTATACTTTACGGACCTCGTGGGAGAAAAAATAGGTAGGGTAAACCGTATAGCTATTGCCCACTTAAAGAATTCAAACACATTGAGATGAAAAATTAAAGAAAGTATTTTAATTGTCGACCATTTATGACTTTTTTCTTATAACTCGATAAACTGTTAAACAGAATATTAACAGTTTTTAGTTAAAACTTACGTAACTTAGAAATTATTGAAATAAATTTAAAATCCTCCAAAAAGTACAGTCATTGCCCATTACTTACACTAATTGCCCACATCAAAGCACAGTAATTGCCCAGTATCTTAAAACAAAATAATCAATTTTAAAATGACAAAATAGGCTTTAAATAAACAAAACATTAAACTTAAATTCTAGTAGTACAGTCTTCAAAATTTTAAAATAAATTGCGTTTGGCCTTATTAACTATATTATCAAATATTTTTTGAGCTGATGTTGATGAGTCGGAATCGGTAGAGACAGAATCATCTACTTCAAAACATAGATGACGCAAAAACTTGAATTTTATGTGTAAATTTTATATGTATTTATTTTTTTATCTTCTTTGATATCAGTTCAAGTGGTTGCTCAGAATTTTCAATTAGTGTTGGTTATTCTTACCTATAGGTGTATCTATTTCCTTACAATTAATATTTTCACTAGTAGATTTAACGTAAGATTTTCATTTTTTGTATTTGCGTTTGAATTTTTATCAATTTTTTCAAGCCTATCCATGTTTTTCAGCAATTTATCTTGTAGATAAATTGTTGGATACATCTTGTACAGCTTCGATCGCTTTTTGCAAATTTTCTATGCTATACTGAACTTTTGGGGTCTTTGGCATACTGAAAATGAAACATTAAAAGCCATTTTAATATTAATTATGCCTGTAAATTGCAAAACAAGTCTAGCAATGAGCAACTTAAGCACTGCTACTGCATGGTGGCAAAACTCTAATAATAATTGCCCTGGGCAATAACTATACATTAACATATGGCAATAACTGAAATGATGGTGGGCAATAACTAAAAATATACAGATTTACGTGCAGTGATTACCCACCGTTAAAATGACCGTTAGAAATCAAATTTTATCAGTTATTTTCATTGATAATGGAAAAAACACTTATAATTTCATCATGACTATACACCATTAGTTGAATATTAAATAACTTCCGAAAAAAATTAACCTCTACGCAAGTAATTCTTTAGTGAAATTGTTAAAGTCTTAACCTGTTTGACTAACATTTTCACCCGTCTTGACAAAATCCGCCATAACTGTTTTTTAGTGTTTCCTATTGTAAATTTTAAATCTACTGTACATTGATCTCGGAGCCATCTATCTACTTAGTAAATTCAAATCTAACTAGAGTGATTCACAGTCAGCACCTGACAATATTATTCTTAAAGCGGGCAATCACTACCAGTGGGCAATCACTCTCTGGTTTACCCTACATACAGATAGAAAAAATCGTAGACAATGGAAGCAGGAAAAAATTTGTAGTCCGTTAGGACTTGAGTTATCAAATCGCCAAAAGACTGAGATAGGATAGTTAGTCATGCGAGGGACGAAATGACATACAAGTCAAAAACTACTTCGAGAATAGGTACCCGAAGTCTCGAAAGTTCCATCTCTCTTACTCAAAGCGAGATGACAGCATGGGGAGTAACGGAACTATTCCCACTTCTCGTTCCCACCGCTGCAACTCCTGTGTAGCCAGGATCTACAGCTTGACCGCCAAAAACCCAACCAGTGAAGGTCAAGTTTGTCCCGGGGGAAAGTTAAACTGTCATTGGACCCGCAACGAAATTAATCAGAAGAATATAGGAGTTCGAAGTTAAGGTTCTTCCCTCCAAAGCGGTTAAATTTCATCAATAAAAGCTTGAATCTCTGATTTTTTGTTACAATTTACAGCTCCAAACGGATATAGAACCCAACACTTTTCTTCTTCTTCTTTTTTGATGATGTTGGCCTTGGCAATACACGTCGAGGTCGACATGATTTGTGCCATTTTCAAGTTTAAAATGAGACGTTTTAGAAAATGAGACCAAGTAATGATTTAATGAAGGTTGATAGATGATACCCCTTCCCACCCTTTGAGTCTCAGTAAAGTTGTGGTGCTTTACTGAGACCTCATATGGACTACTTGAGAAAACCCGACGAATCAGGATGCACTGTTTTGCTTCACTTGCCCAAACCCATGCACGTTCACGAACACTTAAAATGGTTAATAATCCACCATTATTACACATTAATAGTCGCTCAAACACCAATTTGAGGAAATAAAACCGCTAACATGACGCTTCAGATTCCCGCCAAGAAGTCCCCCAACAACACTTTTGCTCACCGTTCCTAAAGAATTTTTTCTCTAATTAGGCGCCTAGCAATTGAGCTATAATTAATGCTTTATATTATTATAACGTATGGATGCAACTGGCCTCAGTATGACTAAGGTTACAGACGCACTAGAGCGTAGCATTCTCAGAAAAATGAGTTTATTTTGTCCCGTTAGTATTGTTTCAGACAGTATAGTGCTAAGTCTCGGTGGATAGACGAAACCATCCGTAGTGAAGGCAACCTACCTATAATAGTATTGATAGGTCATCGATAACAACGTAGTCAGAAAGTTCTATCAGCACGAAGCCATACTTGAACTATTAAAGACAAACCAACCATTCGCAGTTGGGACTACTGTAGCGGTTTTCAGCCTCAAGAAACTTTTAGTTCTATGCTACTATCTATTATGTTGTCATCATCATCATTATCATTTCCCCAATGATATTATGATGAACATTATCATCATTTCAGCCATACGACGTCCACTGTTGAACGTAGACCTGGCGTGTTTGTTGTGGCGTTCCTTGAAGACTTACGTCCAGCAGTGGACTGCCATAAGCCGAAATGATGACTACTATCGGTAGTTCATCAACCGGTTTATCAATAGCCGAAACGATACTCGACCATCACTAGTGTATAAAGTTATTGAATTGTTCAAATACCGCTATTAACAGGGAAAATTAATACTCTGTCTGCTTTCTACTAGAAGCTTTAACCACGGCACTGATACGTTTCACGATTGTGGTTAATTCACGACTGGTAACCTTGCCAGTCAAGACATAAATAAATATAAACTAACGCCCGTATTCAAAAACGATGCTTGCTTAAGTGAAGCAGCAAATCGAACGCACAGCGTTGAATAGAGCTCTGTGATTGGTTCGCGAGTCACCCTGTGCGTCCACGCGCACTGTGAGACCTCATAGTAAGTGATGTTTGTAAATACGGGCGTTAGTCACATTACCTACCTAGAACTCATTTCCATGTCATAAAAAACATTAGGTATTAAAATTCATGCTAAGCTGAAAATAATACTAAAAATTTACTATTTTCTCCAAACAAATCAACAATGACAAGTGATGGTGACTCTCCTCACCTCACAATGATCATTAGGCTGGGTTGCACCTCTTACTTTGACGGTAACTATAACGATAACCGGTGGTATTTGTATGGAGTCTGACAGATTTTTGACGTTTGTTACAGTCAAAGTAAGATGGTGTAACCCAGCCTTATTGTACAAACAATGAATGAACTCACACAATGCCACGTTTATTACTCATTAGCAATACAAATAGAGATTGTTTTCAAATTTTTGACGATGCTACGACCCAAACATATAAACAATGGGGTTTTTGTTATAGACTGCATAGATAAATAAATAAAGTTTGGTCAGTACTAGAAATCAGACTTCTTATTCATGCTTCTTGCCTTATGTCTGTATCATACCGAAAAGTTGCTTAAACATAAAGAAAAATATAAGCACAAGAAAGGATTATGCATGTCTGCAATCGCTTTAAATATTGGAATCTAACCAGTCACAGGATAGTTTGAATCCAGCTTTAGAAATTGTTTTAGAATACAAGCCTTAATTTAATTACAATTATACTTATTTTGACCGTGAAATGTTATTCAAAATAAATAAATATCCATGAACTAAAATTAATTAAAAGGTAGTCTAGAGTTCACAAGTCCTTTCACATTAATTATACTAATTAGTATAAATTAAAACATCATTACAAACTACAATGAATCAAAGATAATTATAATTTTTCCTTATCAATTTAATGTTATGATAATTGTGTGTGATAATTGTTTATGTTGTGGACTCAAAGTCCTTTTATTTATATCATTACTAGCTATTGCCCGCGGCTTCACCCGCACGAAATTTAGTTTGTCACATCGTCATAAATTATAGCCTATATGTCATTCTAGGTTATAAACAATATTACTGTTAAGTTTCATCAAAATACGTTCAGTAGTTTTTGCGTGAAAGAGTAACAAACATCCACACAAACTTTCGCATTTATAATATTAGTAGGATGATAGGAGCCTTTATAGACTATCGTCTATTAGCCAGAGATCTAAAGGCCACGAAGGTATTTAAACAGAATGATAGATAGGGCAGACGCTAATTTTGTTTATTTGTTTATTTATTTTTGGAATCTTTGTTTTTATACTGAGGTAACTAATACATACCTTTAGTTATACCTTTAATAGTAAGAGATTTAACTAAAAACAAAGAATATTAGTTCAATTTAGTAAGATGGTAGGCATTAAAAATACAACAATAATGTTCGTTAAAAGTATTGAAAAGTTAAACAATATGTTAACGAGCAATACTATTGATAGCATTGCATTGATAATGACCTATTCAAATGGGTACACATTAAATTAAAACCATCCCAAAGCAATTACATACAATTTGTAGCAAGTAAAGAGTTGTTTAAAAACAATGACATAGTTTTTTTGTTAGAACTTTGATTGGAACAAGAATATTATGAAAACTTTTGATGTTATACCACCGACAGTTCATGGACGAGCAATTGAATTCCCGCCAAAGATCTATAACACTATCAAAATAGTTTTGGCCGAGTTACAAAAGAAGGTTGAACATTTTGAACTTACCCGAAATCTGGATATGATTAGACCCATTTTCTCACTTCAGGTTCCGCTAAAACTAATCAGTATCACTCGTAACACTTAATTAAGATTCGTTAATTCGATTTTACAGTCTAAAAATAAGTTTGGCATAACAGCTAACCAAATGAAAATTGATGACGAATTGGCGTTCGGACTTTATAACCTATAAATTCCGGCTTATTAATAATATTCACAGTGGAAACTGTCCGCTAAACTATTCAGGACCAGATCACATTATTTGCAATTATTATCCTAGTAAAATAATATTTTTGTATTAGAGAGCACGTCATCGAAACAAATAAATCGCGATATTGGACAAAAAAACATTCTTCATTCCACAAATGAAAACTTCAAAATGTATTTTAGTGTTGGGACACGTTTGAGATATCGTTATTTTTCCCCGACTGCGCCTGAAGGAGGGTTATGTTTTCTTTTTAACTTTACAGTAGGTAGTTTAGTGCAGTGAATATTGCATTGTATTGCATTGTACTAAAAATATTGGCGTAGGAAGTTGAAATATAATTAAGGTGAAAATAAAATTATCTCATTTAAAAAAATGTGTCCTCAATTTACAGGACAGGAGTTTGGCTAACAACTACTAAAACTCAGATTTAGCTGTGTCAATGTAACTAATAAACTCGTAAAAACATTTTTCTCAATCACCTCTTTTATTTTATTTCACATGAAGTAATAAAGTCATCTCAATATAAATATGTCGGCGCCGGACACAGATGCTGCAAATTATTATTGATGATTAATAGTACCAATCTTAATATTATGTTATCTGTATAAATCTGTAGAGCGGAAGGTTTGTGATTCCTAAACGTAACACCCGACTAATGCGCAGAAAAAGGTAACTGTCAATCAGTTTTGTCATGTCAAGTGTGAGCAAGCGGCTACGAGGTTATCTTTGAAAGCGTATTGAGTTTGGTGGAACGTTAAATTGAAACAATGGAGATTCCACCCCTAGAGTTCCTTCTGATAGAGACCCAGTGCCTTTAAATAAAAAATAAATAAAAGTATAATGTTTTATTATTTATTTTGTATTTAATTAAAAGCAATCTGGCAATCAAAACATTACCACAGGCAGGGATTTTTTCAATATGTACTCCAACTCTCCAACAATGAAATATGTAGAAAAAGAAAAAGACAAGCAGTCTTAAAGGTCAAAATAAAACATTCACAGATATTTTGGGATCAGATTTTAATAACAGACTGTTTAACTCTTTATTAAACAATACTTGAATGAACAATTTGATTACTACTATATTAAAAAAAGCGTTATTTTGGAGAAAGTCAATAACGTTAACAAGTTATTTTAAAATATGTCACATCACTAGTGCATATTTTTAAATGTCAAATTGACATTTTCTTTTTTAAACCATCTCATTTTTGGCCTTACACATACGGTAATTGGCCAATAAGGTTCTATCAAAGTGATATTTAATTAATATTTTATTCACATTAAAATCTTAACACGTCCTCCAATCCGCTGTATAACACGACAGTTTCGTGACATCTGACTGCTCCATTTCGGTCTGGCGGCCGTCGGAGTCCACACAGCGGCACATCCCGCGTCTACACTGAATCTTCCTGAAGTTGCCGTTGCTGCAGCATATTGGCTTCTCGGAGGATGTGCTCATGATGTGGGAAGTTCGGGCGCATTCTGAGAAAAATAATAATTTAAAACTTTATTGCTTAACAATATCGGCGTACAAAAGGCGTACCTTCTCAATGCAGTATTATGGCATTGTCGTCCAGTCAACCTTTTAGCCAAGATGAATGTTATACAAGGCATTGTAGACCACCATTTCTCTTCCCGTAGTAAGTATTGTCAAAGGGAAGGGGATAAAATATGCGAACATCTGGCTAAATCCTCCATTTGCAACTGTGGGCTGAGTGTGAGTTTACTTACATCAAACTCACACTAGGCACTCTGGTAAGTAAATTAGAAAATGGTCGTGTTAACGCAGTAGAGATACAGACTAGAATAATAAAGTTTACTCTAGTCTCTTTTATCAGTTGGCTGATAATCGTTATAGAGCAAGGTTTTTGTTTTGAAGCTATGGCTTAATAACAAGTGTATGATCATTTCATTTGACACAATTAGTTTCTGGAACAGTGTAATAACATTGGAACTTACTGCAGTCTATATTGTTGTACTCGGGAGTATTTGGATCGGCCTGGTAATTTCCTATTTGTTCTCCACGCTCGTCCACGCAAATCTTTCTGTAATATAAAATAAGAAATTAAGTACCTACTTACTTGGCTAATTTACACTCAAATTCATCTGGATTGAAAGAGAAAGATAACATTATCGATAGTTCTGCTTCGTCTTCTGACTTGGGACAACTGGGATCAAACTTTATACGTCAGCTGCTTTGACGGGGCTCTCAACTCAACTCAATCGGACTAACTTAGGTCGCGACCAAAAAATTTAAATCGCACGTCTTTTCCGACAAAGGGAAGGATTGAAGAAACCAATGATTTTACACTAGAAATCTCCTACTGATGTTTTTAGCAATTTGTTATTGACACAAACATTTTCCATTTATAGTGATCGTTAAAATGTCTCATGCCCGTTTTCACCATCAATCCCTAATTTTTAAGTGACCCCTATGAAAACTGAATTCTTGTTATGTGTTACTATTAAAGGTCATTTAAAAATTAGGGATTGCTGGTGAAAACGGGCATTAGTCTCATTAAAAAATACATACAGCCAAACATATAACCTCCTCCTTTTTTGAAGGCGGTTAAAAAGTAAGTAACTTTTGGGGGTTTTTTACCCTTACGTACGTTCTATTCCTACTAGTAACGATCCTGGTAGGCGTCCCATCAGGCAGGCAGCCTTGCACTGTGCTGAAGAAGTCCACATTGTACCCTTCCTCCTCACTCTGCTGGATCAAGTCGATCTGATCCTGGATGCCTTCGATGCAAGGCGTGGTTAAGTTGTAAGGCGGGTCTCCGCGGCTCTGCTCAGGGTACAGGTCTAAGTCTGCATCGTCTGGAAGGGATTTTATAGCTTTATGTAGAACTGCCCAAATTAATTAACACTCCAGTACCTACAGTGCAAGAGAAACAAGTGGTACTTTTTGATCGAATCAATAATCGTATCGTTCACGGAGCTATGTAACTCCATACAAAAAACACATTTCATCATTTTACAACTGTCACGTTTTGCCGCCTGCTTGTGCTACTGAACACATTGCGCTGAAAGGCACCCAAGTAGTTTTATGAATGAACTGCTACGAAAGGACTTTCCGAAAATAGCTCCCAAAGGGAAATGAAACGAGGTCCAATTATTGTTTACCCCATAGAACCTAGAACTTCTCTAAGATAGAGACTAGAGTGAATTTAAAAATCCCGAAATTAACGCGAAAGAAGCCGCAGAAAAAATAAATAATAAATAAATATCCTTAGACATTTTACACTGCGCTTCTAGTCCCAAACTAAGCAAAGATTGTACTATGGGTACTAGACAACGGATATAAACATACTTATAGCCCGACCAGGAACATAAAAACCCTCGCCATGTTGCGTAAAACTAATGGTACTAATTTCTTTTAATGGCAACAGTATAGTTCCAAAATACTGGACTGTCCTGTCGATGACATTGACAGTGGGGCGCCACCGTCAATACCGGATCGCTGGTTCAGATTTTTGCCATGTTGGAAACCATATAGTTGAACGATGGTAGCGCCCCCCTGTCATTGAGTTTGGTGGGACAGTTCAGCGTGGGTCATCTATAACTGAAAACTTCATTGACATGTCACCTTGCATGTCAGTCTATTGCTGTCAAAGTGTAAACAAACTTTATTTTAAATGTGCGCAATTGATTTTGTGAATTAAATTGCTAAAATCTTTTTATAGTCGTGAAAGAAAAGTGGTTCACAATGTGTTAAAGTATTTGTCGAAGAGAAATACTAAGGGTTCGGACAATATTTTCATTGAATAATGTTTCCGACAAAGGTTGTCAAATTGACTGACATGTTTATCGTATAGTACAGTCCACTATGAAAATTAGCTGTGGTTTGTTTCAACTACCTATTTTAAACATTTTGGTCACTTTCTAAGTGTTGAATTTTATGGAATTGGGAAAGAAGTACCGAGTTTGAACCGTTCATGAGCAGACATTGCAGTTGAATATTCAAGTTCTGAATTTGATTATTGATGAATAATAAAATAAATCCTACTAGCTCGATTGATGGTTTCATTTAATTTATTTAAACCAGGTTACCATATTTAGCTATAATAATATTTTTTCGTTAATTTATGAAAATATCAAATTAGCACGTAATCCTGAATCCTGATACATAAAGTTAGCCTATTAATTTAACACAGGTACGACTGTACTCAGTGTTGCACTATCAAATGCAATTGACGCGCCTCTATGCCAGGGTTTTTTTATGTTCCTGGTCAGGCTATAAATACTTTTTTTTTGTAAATACATACTTATTATACATAAAAAGCAAGTTAACAAATAAAAAGCGATCGTAAATGTTCTCGCAAAAAGTCCAAAAATCTTACAGCAATCCAGCTCCGTCAGTGGTGTCTCGTCCAAGTTCACAAATGTAGTACTTTGCACAATCTCTCCAGAGACTGTATCCACGCAGTAACACTTTCTGTCGATGCACTGGATAGGGTGGAAGTTACCGTCAGGAGTGCAGCGGGGACCCACCACGGGATACGGAACTCCTGGGCTTAAGTTCTTCTTGATTTTCTCGTGCAAGCGGGAGCAGCCTGGAATAGTCAAATAAGAAACACTAGTCAAAAAAGATAGAGGATTTAGGAGTCCCATAACCCGTAGTGGGACTCAGTCACTGGATGTATGTTCTTTTTGATCTTTTTATACAAGCCGGAGAAGCTTGGAATAGAAGTAAAAACATTACTTAGTGAAATAAGGTAAGAGGTAGTGGTATCATTCAAAGAAGGTAGGGGGCACACCGAGGTTCCGCAACGGGACACGGGACTCCTGGATATTCTTGATTTTTTCATGCAAACGGAAGCAGCTTTTAACGTGGAGTAAGAATATCAGTAAAAGAAAGTCCAGCTGATTTTGTGGTTAAGTGGTTAGAGTATGACGATATTAACTGAAGGGTTTAATTCATGTATCACGAATTATAATATTATGTACCTTTTAAAGCAGATATTTAGGTTTATTTAGTATTTAGTACTACGGTACTAAGTACTAAATAATGACAGTGAACTAAAATCATTATTTGCAAAGGTTGACTTTGGGTCATCATGCATAGATTCAATTACCTAAGTTAAGTACTTAATGTTCATACTATTACCGTGGTTTGCGGTAAGTGGACCGATGATCTGGTGAAGGTCGCGGGAAGT